TTGCCTGAAAACAAGCCGTGTCGTATTGCGTGTCGTAATCAGTTCAGTGATTAAAACCAACTGACGGTGAGTTCAGATGTAGTTGTAAACTAGAGAATACGAGTGGGCGAAATGATAAGCTGCAGAATGTTCTGAATGCATGTTGTGACCGTTAAGTTCGTCTTACTTGTTCAGCCGAGTTTCAATTGACATGTAAAAATGATTAGGCTCTACCACGATTCTGCGGTTGGAAAATTTGTTGCTGCTAACAGAAGTAAATGTATCCGTAACTGAGAGGACCGACGGCATGACGTGCGATTTCGTGCAACCATTAGGACGCATGCCACTCTCTTCATTTCTAGACGTCATTCGTTCAGCATGAGTATTTCTATTCTGGTTTTTCCTGTTCAGTCAGCAATTATTTTCTGTTCAGGGTAGAAGAAATCATGAGAGAATTTAAGAATTTAAGCATGTTTGTTCTCGATTCAATGCAGGTGAAGGCTACCAATCTCTCCTGGGGATTGGCTAGGAATAACCGTTTCCCAAACATAATTGCTTTACAGACTGCAGAGCAGTGAGTTATCATGAAATTGAGAGGGCAGAAGACAAAAGGATGTGAATTTCACCATTTTTTTAACACTGAGATGAAATGATAATTAACCTTTTCGTTCGTGTTTGCGGGTTTGTAGTTTCAATACATTTGTTCTTTTTGGAGAATTACTTCAAAAATACAAGGAGCTCTGCCAACCACATCTTTCAATCATTTCGACCCCAAAGAGATACTGTAGCGGCTCAACCGTATATACTCCACCACGCTTCGCCCTGTGTTCTAGTCAGTGTTCTGATCGTTGCCCCGCTCTGCGATATGGGTAGGCTTACGATGAAAGCATGGAAAGATTACTTGTTTTTAGACGGAAGAGTTAGGAGTCAACTGATATCGCCTGTATTAATTTCTGAAGAAAGTAGGCTGGAATTCTTTAAGAAAACAGGATCCACATGGAAATCAGGAGAGTGGAATTCCGGGAAAACACCTTTTAAAACGCTGTCCGACCTGGCTCATGTCGTCATGCCTCTGGTATCCCTTCTGTGTACGGCAGGTAATATTTATTAATGTCATTCGTCATTAAATAATATCAACATTAACCATTTTTGTTCAGATTTTTACTGAAAATCAAAACTGTCGCTCAACCATTCTAATAAAACAGTTACTGATAAACCAATCACACGACTACGGTGAAAGCGAAAGATCTGTTCAGAAAAAAAATACCTGGAGTGAGTTCGAAAGTCATATTTCGGAATAAGCACCTCCTTTCCATGCTTCAATTCGCAGATCACGTCCAACATGGCTTTGAAATCAATAGCGTCTTCAAATAACGACTGCAAAGCAAGGAAACACCACGCCCAGGCAAGAACCACGCTTACCTGGATGATCGAAATTGAACTCTCCTTCGAACGCTTTCTGCCTCTCTTCGGCGGTCAGTTCACGATAAAACGAGTCCTGGCTGATCATGGTAACCAATCGTTGGTTTTCAGCGCCCACGCGCTCCATGATCTTCACACACACTGACGACTTCCCGGATGCCGTGCCGCCTCCGACCCCGATGACAAAAGGTGACTTCTTGGGGTGGATCGGAAGACTGAGACGATGTGGCGAAAATCGTGACAAAGAAAACCAAAAATAAATATGAATCACTTACCGCATGTTTTTCAGGAAAAACACAGCGCTTTCGTCGATCTTGGAATTCTCCGTCTTCTGATTTCTCTAAACGAGAGTAAACGAATGTCGGACGCAGAAAAGACGCAGAACCATGAAGCGCAACTTTAACAGGCGCGAATATTTAGAAGCAAAACACATGCTACTAATCTCAAACACGCATAGAGTGGAAAGAGGAGTATCGCATCAGTAAGGCTGGAACGATTTGCATACATGATCGATTCAATAAACCTTTTTCAAGTACAGAAATAGAGGATATCTGACTATAAAATGAAAATGAGTTCCGATTCGCAGTTAATTTGTGCTGATAAGTATGTGATGGATAACAGACAAATCCGTTCTGAGAAACTACCTCAAAAAGATGCTTACAGTCTACAGTATCGTACAAATATGCGATATACTGTAATTTTGACACTGACGGGTCACATCGATTGGCACTTCAGGTATTGCACGTGTTAAAAGTTTTAAAAGAGCTTCTTCGTCTTTATCAAAAGAACTGCAGCACTGAAATGTGGTTGCAGATAATGAACTGGAGGTTGGTGCAACATGCATTTTGTCATAGCCTTTCCAAGCATAGAATTCAATTTGTTGAGGTAATCTGAATGTAGCAGATAAGACAAAAGAAACTGAGATCTAAGTATGAGGGGCGACTTGACCAAGGATGAGGGAACGTGGAGGAACCAGACTCCCTCAACGTACCTGAGTTAAAGGTAATACGCCATGAAAGAATATGAAGAACTGTCTCGATCTGATGTAGACATCATGTACGTCTAATCTACAGGAACCACTGAACCAACAGGAATTGCGTCATTGAGTAATGAAGTGAGAGTAGAGCAGCAACTGTACCTGAACATCCGGCACCATCTGCTATTAGGGCAACCGTTTGCACGACGTAATGCAGTGTGCTCGTTGAGATCTTCACTTTTTGCAGTTTGCATAAGCAGAACGCCTCTGGTTTGTGACGTCCGCGGTACTTGCTGCTGTTCAACACTTTTCCCACAAGGCGCCGCTTACTGTGCCGCACATGGAAATATTCTTTTCCAAAAGATCGCATTTACCCTGACTGTCGTCTACCATGATCTGACTAGCATACAAGCTCGCACGCCGGAGTAAATGGTTCCTATTCAGCCAGTTTGCATTACAAAGCCAACAACCTTTTCTTCATCTCCATGTCACTTGAAACCGTATGTGCTGGAAGAGAACGGATTCATTTCTTACGTGATCCCGCCGTTTATCTTATATATGCCTTGAAACCAGTGTTTCTGCATGTAACTCAACCGCATTTTGTGCTCCTGCGCTAGAACGACTGTCTCCATGCTATACAACAAAAATGACCTGACAGAGGCAAGGTACAGGCGGATTTTTGTGGAAATGGCTACCCTCTATCAGCCCAAATATTCAACAGGTTACCAAAAGCACTAGACTGGAAGGCGATCCGCCAATTTAATCCTGATTGAATCGTGCCATCGTTGGAGATGATTGAGATGAGACATTGAACTGATCGACTTCTTCCATGACTTCTCTCTGTTTAACGAGTAGATCAGCCGTGTGTGATGGGTTCCGTATCTCTGAACTTCCGAGCGTAACCACAGAGGCTCGCTTTAGCAGCTGTGTTGCAAACGAAGTCGTCAGATGGCAGTACCCTCTACCCGTACTACTCACCAGGACAATATCATCTGCATA